TGCATTTTTGAGAGTCATACGTAATTTGGACATGGAGAATATTTCTGAAAAGTGGGAAATACTGGACAAACTACAAGCCTTGCAGTCGCGTTGGAACGTGATTGATCAGGTACATTGGCAAATCGATAATTTGTTGATCGGTTCTGATTTAAACTACGAACAAGATTTCACAAAATACGAAGAGATGTACGAAAGAAGTAAGCGAGAATTAAATCGGAAATTAAATTCTACAACAAGCCAAAGTCAAGCTACTCCTGCTATTGAGATTCCGACATTTTCTGGAAACTATACGCAGTGGCCCACATTTATGGACTTGTATTCTCAAGCTATACACAACAACAACATGCTGAGTAAAGTCCAGAAAATGCAACATTTAAAGGGAAAGCTACGAGGAGAAGCGGAGCGTCTGGTACAGCATCTTAATATATCAGCTGACAACTACGATACTTGCTGGGAGCTCCTGACACATCGTTATAACAATCCACAACTTTTATTCACAAAACAAATCCAAGTTTTTATGGGACAACCACCCATAATGAAGGTGACGTCATATGAGTTGAAACGTTTTCATGATACAAGCTTGGAAACGATTTACGCTATCCACAATCTGGGCGTAGACACAACTACATGGGATCCAATCCTGGTGCATATCCTCACTGAGAAAATGGATCCCGATACTTATGGATCTTATATGGAGTCGAGGAAGGATCCACGCCAACTGCCTTCCTTTGATGAACTGATAACTTTCCTGGAGAGCAAGTTCACTGCCTTGGAACCAGTCAATAGGAAAAATAGATCAAACACAACAAAACAAGAATCTGGAAATAACAAAGAAATAACAAAACAAGCAAAACCCTACAACTACAACAATAATAACAAGTCCTTAAGAACATATCATACATTCAAAGGTACATCAAGAACATGTCCTTTATGTAAATCAAATCACATCTTGATTTACTGCCCTGAATATCAGAAGTTGACACCGGACGACAAAGTTCGGTCATTGAACCAACATAATATATGCAAAAACTGCCTCTATTATCACAATACACAGAAATGTAATTCGACCAAAACATGCAAATTGTGTAACAAGTCACACCATACGACATTACACGAGTTATTTGCAACTCAACAAACTGCAAACCAACAGTCAAAGTCCGCATCAACTATTTCGCAACCTACAGCAAGTCATGTATCGGGAAACTTTGACGAAATACTTTTGGCTACAATTGAGCTTAAGGTCAAGGCAGCGGATGGAAGCTACATTCAGCTAAGATGTCTCCTTGATCAAGGATCACAAGTCAACCTGATCACAGAGTCTGCTGCTCAACGTCTTGGCCTACGAAGACGCAAACAAGATGCTACAATATCAGGCATTGGAATTTCTTCAAACAAATGCAAAGGCACTATACAATTAGTATGCCAATCTTTGTATAGTGACTACAAATTTATAGCGGAAGCTAAGGTAATGACAAAGATGTTAAATAATTTACCTAATTACACATTTGATAAACAAGACTGGCCGCACTTACAAAATATACATTTAGCGGACCCTGGCTACAATATATCGAGACCAGTAGATATACTTTTAGATGCTGGTATATACACAGAGATAGTTATGGATGGCATACTACGCAGCCCCAACAGTATAGCTCCAATAGCCCAGCAAACTAAGTTAGGGTGGGTGCTTCTTGGCAATGTGAAAACATTCCGCTGCCACTCCGTGTTGAACAATGTAGATGAGATTTCTCAATTCTGGGAAGGCGAAGAAATAAATGACATCCAGCACACGCTAACCTCTGAAGAAGAATACTGTGAAAACCTAAGTCGTCAATGCTGATATTTCAGAAGCTTGTCTTGTATGTCTCATGTGCCTTGTATTGATGATATGATCGAGCTCACGAAACATACAAGACAAGCTTCTGAAATATCAGCATTGACGACTTTAATTGCAGAAATATTACTTATCACAACATCCAGACAAGCTACACGCATGTTCTTCCCCTTAACCATATTCAGTCATGTATGGGAAAAACATGAGAACCCTAGGCAGTTTTGCGACTTTTTCAGTACTACGGGCGCTGGAGGTTGGTATACTTATAAGAAAGCCACGGCCGAGTCACAAGAATTTTACATATGCGGAAAATTGGAGGTAGAAAAAGCGTCTCAGATCGTGTTCCACAGCATATTCGGGACATACAAAGAGGATTTGTCGATTCTTGGCCAAATAACCTCCATAAATAGATGGTATACTCGAGAGGAGATGGGCACCTGCTTTAGGCAACAGGGGAGCACCGAGCATGTCACGAAGATTGAATTACCCAAGTTGAGATATTACTCGAAGATGTCATGCGCCAATCAAAGTGGCCTGCTCTCAGGGGTGTATAACCAGGTAGCAACGGTACCCTGTTTTAGCGGAAGGAGGGTACATAAGTTCGATGAATCTTTCTTTGAACACATCGAAAAGAAGAGAATCATGAATGTTTCTGGGAAGACCATTTCACAAATCATAGGTATCCTGACAAGTACATTAGAGGATCTCCACACCACTTTAAAGAGGGATCAAGGTAAAGTGCAAATGGGAACCACAAAATGGAGGAGCATTGAGAGCCTGGCTCTAGATACTCCTGGCGAGGAAGTAGACATCGTAATAGAGGGATCAGGCAAGATGTTCCTGGGTAAAAATTAAGTATTTGTAGTTTTTTCAAGTGTCCCCTTTATAATAGTGTAGGTTTGAGTATCTGAGGGTTCAGAAAAGTTTGCTTCTATAAAATCAATTCTTATTGTATTAGGTTTACTAAATAGATGTTTTTAAAAAAAAAAAATGTAGACCGTTCGTATTGAATATGTTTATTGCACTAAAATAATAATATTTCTAAATATTGAGGCGCGCTACGCAGTTGCGCACGGTCATCAAAATAATTAGGTTAAATATAAAATACGTAATGTACTGCTCGTACAATTGCTATATGCGGAAGAATATAGACCTTAGTTCTTTGACTCTACGCGCAATTCTAAACACGCTGTTAGCAATATAGCAGGTACGGACCACGAAGAAACGAGACGGCTATACGGCGACGTATAACCGACCATGCATTTGAATATCACAAATATTTTATACTAAATCAGTTAATAGTAAGTATTAGAACAAAATTTGCTTCAAATGCGTTAAATTAACAAACATTGATTAGATACCTGTCGAAAAAACGACACTTTACGTACTATGAGTAATTTTTTCGCATTTTTTCATGGAGCTCTGTGGCATCTTTACTTTTCAACGGTCCGCACGTGACTGTGAACCAAGAAGTGCTTGAGTGGTATTCAAGCACTTCTTGATTGGGACACATTTTGAGCGCTCGTGATGAATCTAGGGTATTTAATATTATTGATTCTAACAAGCGCCCGTGGGATTATTAGAAACTCCACACGCAGAGACCTCAATCACATTTAATGGTTGTTAAAGTGACGCATTCTTGTTCTAATGCTATCGTGAATTAACTTCAAAATTAATTTGTCTTCATTCGGAATTCAGTCCGTATTATTTGAGGACGCGGAAAATATTACAAAAAGTTTGTCTAAAAAAACATAAAATAATAATGTCTTATATTCTAGAAAGGCCTTTACAATAAACAACAAACTTAATATTGCAATATTAAATAACTCCACTTAATTATAGAATAAATAAATATACAGGTAATCTTTTACCGGGAACGTGGTTAGTGGAGTACTTCATTACTGCGGCTGGGAGGCTGCCATTGGACGTTGTAACGACATCAATACGATCCAGCCAATCACAGAACAGTACCCTTAGCACGGACCAATAACGTCTTCTTTCTTTTTTATGGCTCTTAATTGTTGCTTCACAGTTCCGCCACCAACCAATATCGAAAATTCAAATACATGTTTGCGAGTGTGCGAAATGTCATTCTCAAATTATGTATGGAAACTTGAACAGAAGCGCCACAACGGACGTAACGAGAACTAAAATCAATACACATGGATCATGGATCGAATTCAACTATTTATAATCTTTATTAGGCTAGTTGACTCATGTCAATTTGCACTATACAAATGTTTATTTCTTATAATATTTGGTATGAGGAATCTAAATACATCGATTTCACTTCATAAAATTAGAAGACGGCTGTAGTAATTTAATTTGAAAAGTAGTTTTTTAGTCTATGCTTTTTAAACACTCAAAACGCTGTCCGCCATGATTGTGACGTAAACATAATAGCAAAACAACTAAACGTCATTGTCGTGTTACTGTGGTTTCTTTCATCCGACTAAAATATATCTAAAAACTCTTATATCTTGAAGAAAAGTTTCCGTTTATTGGTTTTCTTGACTAAATTAATGCTGGACGCCGGATTTGTGAAAGCAGAAACGACAAAACTCTTTGACTTAGCAGGTACATTCATAACCTTAAAAAATTAAACCACAACATTTCTGGAGTCTGTAACGATGTGTTTCTTTATTCTCGTATAATAAAATCATGATAATTACTATACTTATCATGAAATGTATTAGAAATCATGGTTTTGTAATGTAAATTCAGATCCTACGTGCTTGCGAGTGTTTGTTTACTATTTTGTTGACGTCATAGCATAGATAATCTATAGACTAAAATGGCCGACAGCGTTTTTGTATGTCCATGAAAAATCTATTTTAAAATTAAAGTTTTGTAGCTTTCTAGGTCAAAAAAAAATACAATACAGTTTTTTACGGTCTAATAGAACAATTATTAACCGTTCAAAACATATTTCCAAAAAGTGTCAACTAGCCTATTGTTCGTGCTAAGAGTACAGGTTAGCTTTAATAAATACTAGATCTTTTCCGTTAAAAGAGAATGGATTTACTGCTAAATACACCATTGCCTGATGTCGCCCATAGCAATTTGATAAATAATAGCCCGAGTGATATTTGGTTTCGCAGTTTAACATAAAAAAAAAAGATTTTCTTTGCTATTACAGCTAAAGATCTACATCGGTCCATTGCTGAAAACTCCCGCCATATTGAATTAGTTCACTTGATGGCCGCACGGCGCTAGTGTCGCCTCGATATTCGCGATTTATATAATAGTAATTTCACTTATACCGTAAAAGTTTATTCGGATTTCTTCTTGTTCTTAGATGAAGCTAGCTTCTCCTTGCACTCCTGGTAGATGCCGTCCAGATCGAAGGCAGCCTTCATATTGTCTTTGGAGAATAGGAATCTGAAATGAAAGACTCATATAAGACGGTGCAATTGTCTTAAATTAATGTCCCCACTGGGCTGGTGGGGCACTGGCCTTCCCTATGGATGGAATAGGGAGATTGGGCCATGACCCACCACGCGGACTCAATGCGGCGGGTGCTAACGACTGCAGATGCAGTCGGGACCAACGGCTTAACGTGCCTTCCGAATCACGGAGGAACTCTAGATAGAAAATTTTTGGTCATCCTTCCAACGACCGACCACTGCGAAAGTTGCTTAACTTTAACGATTGCAGCCGAACGCGCTAACCACCTGCGCCATCGAGCTACTCACAAGAGCAATAATTGAATACAATAAATGAGGCGCAATAATTGACCTGCAAGAATTGTAAGCAACAGTTTACACGCGGACATGGTAAAAAAGTTGCCTACAATCTATCATCAATAGGGTATTTGACAGTATTAAAAATAAAGTGCCAATTGTTAGCATCAGTGTTAAGAATGAATATTGGCAGGGGCATCCACTATTGTTACAGAAAAAATATTCATAATTTTACTAAAAACCCACGAAAAAGATAATAGTTTTCTTATCTATTGTCACGTGACCCAAAACGCTTGGGATTGTCGGAGCCTAAAATGACGTCACACGCAAGTTAACTTCCGGTTAAAGTGACATTTCATTGTATCGTTTGACGTTTAAATAACAGTCGTGTGACGTCACAGACTAGTAAGACGCCATATTGTCCAGAGAAACGTTTTCGCGGCAACTTAAAAATGGAGATTTTGATTTGGTTATTTTTATGATTTTATTTATTTTTTAAGCATTTAACTGCTAGATGTTTAAATCTAAAGAAAAGTTTACTAGAAAAAATCCACGCGGACCAGGCAGCGGACGGGACTCGAACCCGCATCCTTTGCTATCCGGGCGAATGCACTGACCATTATGCTACCACGGCCCTATTAGCCGCGTCGTAATTTTCCTAGCCTTAAGCTGCAAGGCAGCCGCCATCTCTTCGCATTGTAGGTAACCCACAATGTCAAATGAATACTTTTTCTAGTAAACTTTTCTTTAGATTTAAACATCAAGCAGTTACATGCTAAAAAAATATAACAAGTCTTACACTTGGGCTAGGCTAAGAGGTGTAAGAGTTAGAAATATTTATTTATTTGCTCAAAGAAGATTTCCATTTAATACTAGTACAGCGAACTCACTTCTGCAACTTGCCAGTGCTGTCAGCGTTAGGTCTTCTCATCTGTTCAGCGGATGCTGTGAACAACAGTACCGTGGGTAGTTGCCGACTAGCGGGGCCATCTTGGACGCGGTATTTGGCCGCCGCTTCTGGGTACCTGGTACATATCGTCATATTTTTATCTATACTTATAATAAATCTGTAGAGATGTCAATTCTGTACATGAAATATATTTTTAAAATAACTATCAGGGGGTGATTAGTGATCGATACTGATGCCAAAAATGCAATCAGTAAAATTTTTGTCTGTCTGCCTGTCTCTGTGTATGTTCCTTATAGAAAAAAAAACTACTCGACGGATTTTAACGAAACTTGGTACAATTATTCTTCATACTCCTGGGCAGGTTATAGTATACTTTTCATCACTCTACAATCAATAGCAGCAGAGTAGTGAAGGGAAATGTTGGGAAAACGGGAGAAGTTACTCCATTTTTTAAGCTTCCGTCGCGGGTGCAGCCTTAATGGTTAAAGTTACATAGAAATCATGTATGACGGAAATATTCTACATAAACTTGTCTAAAAAATATCCCGGAACAGCATATGTCTATCTTTTATGGTTGACTCACAATAACACGTGTAATTATATAAATAAAGTCATTGTTTATAGCATAAGCCTGAGAACAAAAACTATAGTTTACACTACAGCTCTACACCGAAGCGAAGTGAGGGCGGGCCACTAGTTTTAATAATAAATTAATATCATTAATTATTATTAATAATAATAAAAACTCTTTATTTTACACCACAAAAAAATAAAATATAAAACATACATAATGGCTGCTTACAGTGAAAAAATGGGCGGTCTTATCGCTAAGAGCGATTAAATAGATTAAATACATTGTTAAACGAAATCTATAAAATATAGTTAATGCTGTAGCAACGTATTTAAAAAGAAATCGAATATCCTGTATATCATTTATTATGTGAACAATAACCGCAGCACATATAAATAATAATGCCTTAAATATAGCATCATCATCATCATCATCAGCCTATTAATGTCCCCACCGCTGGGGCACAGGCCTTCCCTATGAATGGAATAGGGAGTTTGGGCCGTGACTCACCACGCGGGCCCAGTGCGGATTGGTGGGTGCTAACGACTTCAGATGCAGCCGGAACCAACGGCTTAACGTGCCTTCCGAAGCACGGAGGAACTCGAGATAGTAAAATTTTGGTCACCCATCCGATGACCGACCACTGCGAAAGATGCTTAACTTCAACGATCACAGCCGAAAGCGCTAACCACTTGCGCCATCGAGCTATATATTTTTGTACATATCGTCATATATATTTTTTAATAATAAATTCAAATCATTAATTAACTACATTGTTAAACGGAATCTATAAAATACAGGGTGTAAAAAAACCTTTAACGAAGTCGAAGGACGTATTTTCCACATCATGACGATAATTATTTTTTTCCGGACCATACCTGGGAAATTTATGGTTATGGAGATATTGAAGGTCAAGTCTCAATTATTTTTTCAAGATTTTAACATTAATATTTTCAAAACGGTATTTAGAAACTTTGTTATCGACTCACTTAGACTTAGTGTCGCCGCACACGGGCCACACGCCACGCCACAGCCACAAACGCCGCCACGATAAGCTAGAAGCGGCTACTAAAGTGGCTGAAGCGCGCGACAGCGGCCGACTAAGGTAAGGGAGAGAGGGGTGGGGAATCGCGCGAGTCACGTGTGGCGGCGTTTTGTATCGGCGCATTAAGTGGCCGGTGCGGGCCACAAGAAGCGAGCAACGACGATTTGCGTGTGGCGGCCACCGGCGTACCGTGTGTGGCGAGTCCATATAACCATATAAAATGTATGAAAGCTACAAGAAATATGCCGGTGGCGGCGTTTCGTGGTTGTGGTCGGTGGCCCGTGTGCGGCGACACTTACGCACACACATACACACAGGCACAATCTTTGCGTAGCCCCATAGTAGCGCGCCGCGCTATACATTACGTACTCGAAAATAAATTGTAATTTTTTACTTACAAATGATTCCCAGGTATAATATTTTGTAATATTATTTGTTTGGGTGTACCTAATGCGTAGTTTCAGTCTTCGTCATAGGTTTTTTTACACCCTGTATAGTTAATCCAGTACCAACATAATATATTGAAAAAAAAACTTATTCCAATTGCATATATATATAAAATTAAATCCTTAGAAGAAAACCCAGCTAAGAATGGAATTCCATATAAAGCTATATTAAAAATATTTATTTATACATAGAAAAGTTAAAGGAATGAATTTTTTAATACCCCCTAAAAATCGAATATCCTATATATCATTTATTATGTGAATAATAACCGCAGCACATATAAATAATAATTGTTGATGTTGATAAAGCAATATCATCATCAGCCTATTAATGTCCCCACTGCTGGGGCACAGACCTTCCCTATGGATGGAATAAGGAGATTGGGCCATGACCCACCACAGGTCTTTGTGGGTTGGTGGATGCTAACGACTGCAGATGCAGCCGGGACCAACGGCTTAACGTGCCTTCCAAAGCACGGAGGAGCTCGAGATAGTAAATTTTTGGTCACCCATCCAATGACCGACCACTGCGAAAGTTGCTTAACTTCAATGATCGCAGCCGAACGCGCTAACCAGTTGCGCCATCGAGCTCTCACTTTAACAATAAAAGTGTAGATGTAGCATACCTTTTTGGTTTTTTTTCTTTATACGCAGGCAAAAAATACTGTTTACAAGATTTAGCATACCTGCCCACGTCCAGCTTGCCGAACTTCAGGTTGTCGAGGTTGTATGAGGCCGATAGCTCAGCGAAGACCGGTGCGAAGTTGACGCAGGCGGGGTGCCATGCAGCGTACAGGCATATCAACCAGGTAGTGCCTACGAGGGGGTAGGTAAAGATGTAAAATAATAATATAAAAAATGATGTGGTGTCGTGGGACACCAGGTAGGAACGAAGTTCCTTCATTAAACGGTTTTATTCCACGGATTTTTTCTTACGGTTTTACTATCACATTTTTTTCAGTTCGGTCGCGCAGCAAAATCACTTCGTTCCAAAAAGTTTATTATTATTATTAATATTATTATTATAAGTAATTCTTATTAATCAGTCTCGTCATCAAATTCTATTGATAGAAAGGAGAAAGTGAAAGGTATTATACACTACTCGCTTGTGTATGCGACTGTCGCGCCTGCGCACGTCTCATTTAACGGTTTTATTCCATGCACTTTTTTCCACGGATTTTTTCTTACGGTTTTACTATCACATTTTTTTCAGTTCGGTCGCGCAGCAAAATCCCTATCCCCTCCAAGCCTGCCGTAAGGAACTTCGTTCCAATAATAATAATAATGTTTATTTTATTCTCACCACAATACAAATATTTTGTTACAGACATAAAATATTGTTTGTATTAACAACGGATATATTTACAGTATTATATTGTGGAGAGACTGGTGTCTAAACTGGGCAGTAAACTGCCTGTATAATAGAACACCAGGCCCCCAGCCCATATCCCTGCAAAGTTATTAAAATTTATAAATATCCATATAAAAAAACTGCTTAAGTTTAAATGAAATTATTATTTATAATATGAAAAATAAGTTTGTGGTAAGTGTATATGTTGGATTGTGTGTATATTTGTGACTTAGTAGGTATATTTTCGCAGTTCCAGTGAAGTTACATTCTAAATTAGTATGTTCCCAGCTTCATCATAATTTAAATTCAGAAGCCATGCAATAATTTTTAAATAAACAAATGAAAAAAGTGTGCACGGAGCACACATCTGAAGTGAAACTTATTTGTTTTAAAGCATTTAACTGCCAGATGTGTGAATCTAAAGAAAAGTTTTACTAGAAAAAAACAGTGTCAGTGCAAGTCATATAGTCGTGGTCAAGTCACAGTGGGTACAGATGGACCCAGCCCAGGGGGGGGTCATGACCCCCATGACCGCCCCCCTGGATCCGCCCTTGGTCCACTGCTGGACATAGGTCTCCCCTAATGCACGCCACTGCTCCCCGTTTTCTGCCACTCTCATCCAGCCCACTCCAGCCAACCTACGAATGTCATCATCCCATCTTGTCTCAGGTCGTCCCACACTACGTTTACCGAGTCGCGGTCTCCACTCAAGAACTTTCCGGCTCCAACGGCCGTCAGTTCTGCGGCTAATGTGACCAGCCCACTGCCACTTCAGTTTGCTAATTCGGTGGGCTATGTCGGTGACTCTGATTCTCTGTCGGATTACATCATTTCTGATGCGGTCCTTCAGGGATACTCCCGAGCATAGCCCTTTCCATAGCTCTCTGAGCGACTTTAAACTGGTGGACCAGTCCAGCCGTGAGTGTCCACGTCTCGGCGCCGTATGTCATAACTGGGAGGACGCAATGGTCGATGACTTTCGACTTGAGACATTGAGGGATGGGTGACGAAAACACACATATATATATATATATATATATAGTCGTGTGTGTGTCGTTTCACCATAGCATCTCTAGAGGCAGATAAACAGACTTCATTGTGGATCTATTAATGTCTTCGAGAGCGGGTAATATTGTTGGTAGCAAATGACTGCACATGCAGCTGGGCTTGATGGCTTAAGACGCCATACTAAGCTTGGAAGAGATGGTCAGCCACCCATCTGTAGATCGGCCATTGCGAAAGTTGCCTTAGTTTCACAATCGCAGGCCCAAGACACTATTCATTTGCGCCATCGAGCTTCTGACCATGAACGGACATAATTTTTAAATATATTATGTTATAAATAAAGCTTTACTTCGGCGCCTCTGTGCAGTTAATACGATACCTAGGCGTGTAGGGTAAGGTGGGGCACAGTGTTACACGGGGTACAATGTTACAATGCACATTTCTCCGTCCCTATTAGTTTTATGATGTTGGTATACACGTATGTCAAGCTCACAAGCCGCCATCTTTGAACCGTTGTTTCTGCCACAGTTTGTACCGCGCTTGAAAAGTAAAAAACAAAAAATGTTTTTGTGTGATTAAACGTCGAAAAAACCGTTTCCAAGTATTCAATTTTTTTCCGGACGTGTTTTATGGAGGTGAATGTTGATAATATTCTTTAATTAAATGTTTATTTAGCTACATATTAACGTTGAATTATTTTTTGTAAAAATAACCTAAAATATTCATTCCAATTTTTCAATTTGGTTTGCCTCTCTGGGGCACTGTGTGACACTGTACTATTTCAAGGTATTAAAAGAAAATGGTGCGAAATCGTAAATGGAAGACGGATTATGGTACTTCACAGTGAAAAAAAATATAGCAGAAGCGATTTTGATGGTTGAAAGTGGTGTTAAGTCTTCAAAAAGCAGCAAATGAAAAGCACGTAAATTTTATGACATTACAAAGATTGCAGAAAGAAAGACCAAACGTCAGAATGATGTCTATACTTTCAAAAAAAAACTTTAACAAAGTTTAATATTTATTATAAGTTAAATCCTTTTTCTCATTTTGTTAATTTCCTATTATTTTATGTTGTAACATTGTTCCCCTTACCCTGTAACAGACTACCCCAGATATGGGGCTCAGTGTTACAATCAACTGATTTAATTAAAGTGCAATTTAAATTTAGTAGTTCCTAATAATGTTAATGTTTGAGCTATTTTAATGAAGTGAAAGATTGTTAAAGTCTATTGTCATACCAAAAACTAGTTGATTAAAACAATATTTTTGTCATTATATTCCAGTATATTTTTTTTGTAACACTGCACCCCATCCTACCCTACATAATCAAATATAGATATGCAGCATAGTACAGCTAATATAAAGATGATGATGTTGAAAACTTACCTTTATTTCTCTTTAGTTCTTCTTCCAATGTCTCCGGTCCTCTGAAGTAAGTCACATGCTCAGGTCCGAGGTACGTAGGCTCTGGTAGAAGCAAGGCAGTCAGGATCACTATAGCACCATATGGTAAACCATACCTGGCAACAATTGAAAATGTATGTAAACAATTTTAAATTTTCTACACATGCAGTCTACTGCTCACGTGGCTATCATACACAAAATACACAGGGCTGGGTTCCAAACTTACGATAAACAGAGCTAAAAGGGAGCATCGGAGAATAACATTGCATTTATAATTAATTAATAACTTAAGAACAGTTATCTGGATTAATAAATTGTTTACTAAATGGTACACAACTTTATGAATAGGGTTGAGGGTTGATTACCTGAGATACAGGATTCATCCTAGTTCAGGTGTCAACCCACCATAATCTGATCAATATGTACCTTTTATTTTTGGTAAATAAATTGCATGTTTTTTATATCATTGTTTTTATGTAGCCATTAATACCAACATTATAATTATGATGAGAAATAAAGGCTATTATTATTACTTAAACTTTCAAGGGCTGAAGCTTTCGACGTATCGAGGACTGATTACAGTAAAACTGTACTTCCAGGGCCCAAGAACACTATTTTTGGGTGAAAAGGTCTCTGTCAATGAAGTCTCTATGCAAAGTCTCAACTCCAGCGCACTAATAGTTTTTGAGAAAAATAAAATATTGAAAATTACTTTTCCAGTAAATAAACAACACCATTTTGACCAATTACGTTGTTTTTTTTATATATTCTCCTTTTTTAGATAAGGCAAAATAAACAAAGTGCACACAGCCTTACTTTTATTTTAAGATTTTTATGTTAAGATTATTATACAGCCATCGAGAGTTTTCTTTGGCAGCCAACTATTTTCAGTTATTGAAAAGAAGAGAGAAAGAAGGAATATATGCGTCTTTAAAGTTTTCTACCAATTTTTTTTGTTATACACTGCACTTCCGCATCATCTCCGGCGCTGCGGGATTAGCAGCCCCTCCGGCCTTGCGTAACAAAGGCTCACAGGCACTCATGCTCCCCTCCGCAGCTTCGACTTGATGCTCGCCACCTTCGGCAGCGAGCAACCTCAGCCGCTATGGGTCGCGAATGCCTGTGGCTTTGTTACAGCGGGTGGGGGCTGTTCCCCCTCCGCGCCTCTGGAAAACACTCTAGGGGTAGGGCAGACCAAGACCACTGCATTTCGGGGTTGACGAAGTCGGTTCTGTATTCAAGTTGCTTATACAACCTAATAATATGAAAGAAAGTAGGTATATGAAAAGAAAAATACAAATATTTACAATTATTATCATACACAATTAAAAGCTTTTATTAGGTGTTCTGAAAATTTTTTGTGCTCCATTTTTATTTTCAATGGCTGTATAATAATTTCAACTTTCATCTCATAGATTACTAAAAAACTATTAAAAAAAATCAATGTAAATTTTCAAAATGGTGTTACTCAGAAAAGTAAAAATTTTCAATATTTTTTTCTAATAAACTACCAATGCATAAGTGTGACACTTTGTTTAATAATTTAATTAACAGAAACCTTTTCAACAACAAAATTGCGAAGTCGCATCCAACAAAACTGTGAAGTTTTACTTGTGGATCCTGGAAGTACAGTTTATCCCCGATTACACACATACAAAGCAACAAGCAGCATTTAAATTAATGAAATTCTGGCATGACGGCTAATGTTGCCATTTGCCATATGCAAGTTTCTTATCAAATGAATAGATAATTGGGTAGCAAATCGATTATATTTGATTGTATTTGTTTCTTAGGTTTTCACGCACATCACTCATTAAATAAAACTAGTTTTTACGGGTTAATGCACGAAACTTTATTTGTTTATTGACGTTTCGTAACCTTCGAAGGTAGCTCGACAAATTAAATAAAAGTTTTATTCTGACGACGAAGCCTGTAAAGGCTACAAAACGTCAAAAAATAAATAAAGTTTCGTGCATTAACCCGTAAAAACTAGTTTTAAATTTGATTGATTAAAGGAGTGGTATATGGATAGTTGGTACTAGGATATGTGGTAGTTGCACAGATGGGAAAAAGTAGGAAATGATATGAACAAGAAAAAAAAAAGGAGATTTGCGATAAACAACAACAAGGAACAACAGTTGAGTAGGTGGGGAAATTGTGGTAAATAATGGGAACTATAGTAAAAATATAAACTAAATTTTTATATAATTTTTCCTGATAAACATATGTATATATCAGGATTAATATTATATAGAAGGGAATGAACGGACGTAGGAAGAGGAATATTTAATGAAAATTGCAAAACTAGCTGAAATCGGCAATTTAAAAAATACGCAATCGACTTACCTCACATCGGCATACAGCCAAAGTATCAGGTTCGCTATCTTCGTATACACGAATGAGGACGACAGATAATTCACCATTGTAACACTGCCGGCCTTCCTCGTCCTTAGCATCACAACGATAATTAGGAAAAATAGAATTTCCGTTTCGCGGCTGTCCAATTCACAATCAGCGTTGGGAAACAAAAAGTTGCATATTATAGCCGTGCGCTTGCATATCACGTAGGAGATACTCAACAAAATATTGACCCAGTAGTATGGCTTTAATAGCTGACGCAAATCACCTTTGAAAGACATTATTTTATTTCATTAGTGCTTGAAAATATAAATAAATTACAGCTAAAATCAACCGCGAGTAAACTGGGCCAGGCGTGCAACTGTCACTTTGAAAGTCACATAAAACTGGGCATAGACGGTCAATTGTTGGATTGAATTCTTAGATCGCGATAATATTAATAAGATGCCCCATATATCAATATTATCGCGATCTAAGAAACTCTCTACTCTGCAAAGAGAATGACAAGGATACACCGCTGTCAAATTTAGGTTTATGTTTTAGATAATCATGCCAGAATCGATACAATAGACCAGGGTCGATAATTTTAAAAATGGTGAAAAGTGAAAAAAAATTATAGTAGGATGAAACCCATTAGAAAAGGTAGAGAATATAACAAAAATTAAAGGAAAAATAAATTACAGGCGATCTGAGGTCGGGAAGGGGGATGGGGTGAGTTTTTAAGGGGAAAAATTGTTAATCTCGATTTCCGGTAAAACTGCAAGTCCTATGAAAAAAAGTTAAATGGCAAAGTTGTAGGTAATAAAAAGATCTACAACTTTTATATCGACACTTTCTTCACATAACCTCAAAATCTATGTGAAAAATTCGAATAACCGAGTTTTTGGTTTTTGATTTTAATTTTTTTCCAAAAAAAATATTCTTTCATGAAATTTGGTGAAAACTTACCTTTATATGTCCCAAACATACAGTAATTTTTTTGATTTAAAATATTCATTTTTTCACCTTATTTTGACTTAATATCCAAAAAGCACCCTAATTTTCAATCGAAAATTCTCACGTCAAAATATCTGCTTTTTTAAAAAAGTTGGGGTGATTTTTGCTTGTTGAAATCTCTACTTTTTGATGGTATAAAAAAAAATATACACTACTATGATAAATGTTCTCAGAAAATGCAAATTAATAATGAAAAAAACTCGAATCCGAAAATCCTATTTTTAATACCTACTTACAACAACTATTTTTGCATGTTTTATGGATTTGTAATTTTTCTGTTTATCAATATAACATGAAATCTTACGTTTTTCGAGTAATTAAAGTGTAAATTTTAATAAATACTTCATAATTATACATAATGATTCAAATAAATTTTTCGGATTGGAGTTTTTTTCATTATTAATTTGTAGTTTCTGAGAACATTTACCATAGTAGTGTATATTTTTGTATACCATCAGAAAGTAGAGATTTTATCAAACAAAAAACACATCAACTTTTTTAAAAAAGCAGATATTTTGACGTGAGAATTTTCGATTGAAAATAAGGGTGCTTTTTCGATATTAAGTCAAAATAAGGTGAAAAAATGAATATTTTAAATCAAAAAAATTACTGTATGTTTGGGACATACAAAGGTAAGTTTTCACCAAATTTCGTGAAAAAATATTTTTTTTTGCAAAAAATAAAAATCAAAAACCAAAAACTCGGTTATTCGCATTTTTCACATAAATTTTGAGGTTATGTGAAAAAAGTGTCGATACAAAAGTTGTAGATATTTTTATTACCTACAACTTTGCCATTTAACTTTTTTTCATAGGACTTGCAGTTTTACCGGAAATCGAGATTAACCATTTTTTACCCTTAAAAACTCACCCCCTCCCCCTTTCCGACCTCAGATCGCCCGTAATTTATTTTTCCTTTCATTTTTGTTATATTCTCTACCTTTTCTAATGGGTTTCATCCTACTATAATTTTTTTTGGTCTCAAAAATTATCGACCCTGGTCTACAACTGTTATGATTTTACAAAGTATTTTGCTTTGTAAAAAAAGTTATTACATTTTACTTTTGTTTATATTATAGCAACATCATCTCATCCCGGAGCAACTGCTTGCGCGGGGTGGCAGAAGCTTTAAAAAGGCATCAGTTACTTATCTACTTTATGATATTTGAATTTTATTAATTCACGATGGTGTTGATTCTGGCGTGATTCTCTAAACTTAAAACTAAATTTAACATTAGTCTCTCCTTTTCATTCTGTATAGAGATTGACAAGGATGCACTGTTGTCAAATTTAGGTTTAACTTTAGAGAATCATGCCAGAATCGACATCAGTATCTGTAATCTATGCACTTCACCAGTGCTGCCATGTATACGGATTTGTCCGTATTCATACGGAATTTTAACACATAAACCAGATAGGGAATCCCCTCAAAATATTTTGATTGGTCGTGCGTGATAATGAGAGAAAGAAAAAGTTTAAAATATGTATAGTGCACAGACATAATTTAAGGTTTAGTGATATTTACATATAAATGCCTTATAGTTTGCCTTTCTTATACATAGTTTGTGAATAATTCATGCAGAATTTACCATTTACAACGTACATATCTCTATATCTATTAATATTTAAAACAGTTCCTTTGCCGATAGAGTCGCTATTCAAGGCATATTTATATTGATGTTTTCATTTCAAGACAGGGTTAAATATAGGGTAATATGAATAATATTATAATTTAAAGTGCTGAAATATTATATACCTATTGCAATAAATTTTTATTTTTAGCAATTAATTGTTGGACTTTTAATTTTCCTAGTATTTTTTTGCATTTGTGTACCTATTTCGTTAATTGTGTTGAAAATTAATACCAAATTTCAAGTAAATCTGTCTTTATTATGAAACAAACCCCCTTTTCTAAAATCATATTGTATATTATGGATTTGACCAGCAATCATGTTTAATATTTTACTTATCATTCATGTTACAGCCGTCATACCAATTCAGTTATCCGGCATTTTCATTTTCCAGAACTAGACCAAAATTTGACTCCATCTATTGCTAAACATGATGCATTTGATAAGGTAAATATTTTTATTATTACACACTATTCCTTGATACTTTTTTATCAAAAATCATAGTTTGACTTTAAACCATAGTAAATATTAAATTGTTTACTTACCTGTTTAATTGTTTATCTTTGTAATTGAAACTTTATATAAAACCTACGCGTGTCTTAGTCCAACTACTTTATTTAAGGAAAGCATTTATTACATTAGGTTTGAGAAAACACATCCATTATATTTAGTTTAATTGAATCTGTTGGTTCAGTCTTGATAACAAGTCCTTTGAATAAATTACTAATAGTTATATATTGATTTGTTTCCATTTAGTCTCCATAGGTTTCAAGTACTCAGAGGTTTAAAGTTCGGTATTATTTGTGGTCATATACGAAGGCGTAATCAGCAGCCAAGCAAAGTTACATAAATAAGAATTGGTTAAAATTGGCTGAATATTGACATACAAATAAATTGGTTGAACATCGTTTTTATTTCATAATTTCAATAAAAAAATATTTATGTCGATTCATTTAGAAATGATGAACCCTAAACTTTAATTCGACAATAGTGTATCCTTGTCATTATTTCAGAATGGAAAGGAGAGACCGAAGTTAAATTTACTTTTAAGTTTATAAAATCAGCCGGTCATCATTACTCTAGTCATGGATGTTTAATATGTATTTCTATATAAATATAGTTATACATGTACAGTATATGTATTCTATCCGTTACCCTAGCATCCCATAACACAAGCCTAACAGTGCTTACTTTGGGGCTAGGCTAATTGGTGTGAGAGTTGGAAATATTTATTTATTTATTTGGAAAGATAACAACGTTCATTTAAAGATTTTTCTTCTTATCATAACAAATTTTTCGCAAAAGTTGTTCTTGAAGCGCTCTTAATGATATTAATCAAGGATCCTTTTTATACGGATTTCATTTAATATTGACATACGGATTTCATACGGAATTTAGCAATGAAATTACGGAAACACCGGTTTAAAGATATGGCAACATTGCACTTCACTGACATTTGTCAAAAAAAAAAACCACCGGTGATCTGCTTTGCGTTTTTCCTATAATTATATGAAAATTACGAAGGTAGTCTTTATTATTCGCAAGTTATAATATTACAAATTATCAATAATGAGCAGAGAAGTGGACGTGAAGGCATTAATATCACACATTGTGCGTGGAGATGGTGCGGATAAATGCAGAATATGCATGGGAGATACCTCTGAAGGCCAAGTCTACCTGGGAGATACAGTTATGATGGATGGAGAGAGGCCTGTCACCCTCGCTGAGTTGCTGGAAGTCATCACAGGAGTGGAGGTGTGTTTATTTACCCAACCTTTGCGCAACACGATTCGATTTGTTTATTTCTGCAAATCGTCTGCAAGAAACGGAACGGCGTCATTCCCGCCATGTCGGACAAAATGGCGGATAATTGATAAATTTCATCTCGTAATAATCCATGAAACAAATAGAATAAAAGGCTAATTATATCATTTTTATTCAGAATTTGTACATTTCGAATCTTGTTGCATGAGTTTTATCTTTATAAAGTTTGATATATTATTAATAACACTGAATATTCTTATCATTTTTTGCCCTATATCTCTCTCATCTACGTTTTCATTTGATGAAATTAAAAAAAGTATTTTTCTCTATGTTATTGAAACACACAACACCACAAATAAGTAGCATTAAGTCTATTAGACATGTTTCTCAACTGATTTTACTGTCAATTCATATGCCTAAGATTTACTACTAGATACCATATTGTAGGTAACATATTAATTGATAAGTTAGAACATGATAAATTCTTATTGGAGCTGATGTGATATAAGAATAGACACAAATATATTGTGGCCCGTTGACTGATCCGGTGGTTGCAGGTGCCAGAAGTCGCAGAGCTACCGAACGGACTCTGCTCCACATGCTCAGGTTCAGCAGTTGACGCAGCAAATTTCTCCATTCTATGCCGACAAGCGAATACCTGTTGGAACACAACGTTGAAACTCTTGAATGACATACCCTCTGCTAGTCTATTGCCTGATCTCAGTAAAGCAATATATGCTATACTGAATGACAATCAAATTAATTTAATTTATAATTATAATGATTCAATAGTAGAAAAAGATTCCCAAGGAAAGACAGGGAAACACAGAAGTAGAAAAAATTGCAAAGCAATGCTTTGTCAGTGCCCTAACTGTGATAAAAAGTTCCGACATCCTCATGAGCTTTCACACCATTTGAAAGAGTCCGGTGATTACCAAAGAGCTTGTCATATCTGTGCAGGAATAATGTCTAGAGACAAACTAATAGATCACTTGAGATTGACACATGAGATTACACCTTACGATTGTAAAAAGTGCCCAGCTTTGTTCCACTCTCAGATGAAATATATTAGGCATTTGAAGGAAGCTCACACAAGTGGAGCCTGCACATGTGGTGATTGTGGACGAACTTTTCAATCTCAGTTCGGTTACCATGCTCATCAATCTGTCCACTTGCTGAAGACTTGTCCTGCTTGCGATAAACTGTTCCGCAACCAAATGTGCTACATACATCACTCAAAGGTGTGCTGTAAACTAGATAAAATAAAAAGTGGAAGAAATGGAACTAAACATAAAGTCACAGTTAAAAACAAATCCAGCTCGAAGAAAGTTAAGGTTGGTTTACGTGGAAGCGCTAATAACGAATGCATCTGTGATTACTGTGGAAAGAAATTGTCCAGTAAAAAGTTCATAAAAGCCCACATACAACATGTGCACATGAAAAACACACATATGCCGTGTCCTTACTGTGGGAAGTCATTGGCTGCTGCTCACATGACTGAACATATTAAAACCCATGAACTTGTGAGGTTATATAAATGCGAGCATTGTAACTTAGTACTTAAGAGTCGATTAGGTTTCATTCAACATTTACGGTTGCATACTGGTGAGAGGCCATTTGCCTGCAAACATTGTGGGGAGACATTTTCAGCGTCTTCGAGAAGGTCGGAGCATATTCGCAAAGTCCACAATGGAGGAATTGAATTAAAACATGAATGCAAGTTGTGTTCATCCAAATTTTCACTCCCGTTTCGGTTAAGGAGGCACATGGCTGCAGTCCACAGTGAAGAAAGTGAGCAATCTGTATTTGAATGCAATGAATGCCATGAGAAGTTCAGCAGTTGTCGGGGCCTAATCCATCATAGTAGAAAACACCAGAAAGACGCTGTGCCACAACCCAGGAGGAAGTTGGTCAAATTGAAATCAGTGTAAAAATTATGATCATTATTTGTTGTATTTGTATCACAAAATAAATTATACACATGAAAAGATTTGTGACCTTTCTGTTTATAATAATAATGTTTAAATCATGCTGATACACCTTGTTATACCATTACAAAGTTAACTGGGATGTAACAGGCTTTCCCAATATCAGCTTTGAATGTATACTAGTTATATAAATGAAGTAAAATACTGTTTAATAAAATAAAAGTTTTATTGTAAGTAAAGGAATCCAATAATGTGGGATAGTTGATGTATACCAATCCGATGAAGTGACCGATGGACGTTGTTCCAGATGGAGACTTCGTCACAACTACCCTCAACGGTGTGCCAAGAGTGCGTAAATACAGCCACGGTGACTGCACCTTTCATTCAACTCTGCAAGAACGCTAACCAAAAATGGACAGAAATCTCGGACTGCCTGTTGAAGCTAGGCAAGACTGTACCGAGGACCGCAAAAAGCGCGTTCATTTGCATCAAAAATGATGCAATTAAAGTCATTGATTTCAAAGACCGTATAGTAAATGTGAAAAAGGCACTTAAAGTAGCAAAAAAGACTCTTCTGAAGAACACAGCCCGCGAAAAAGGAATCGACCGCTCTGTTTTGAAATGCCCGGAGTGCGAAAAAGTGTATCCCAGTATTTACTTGCTTAACTTACACTTAAAAGATATAGATAAAAAGATTTGCTTCTACTGCAAACAAATAGTCGACATAAGTACATTCGCAAAACATGTTGCCGTACACGGCGCAACACTATTCACCTGCGATTTATGTAAATCTACGTTTAAGAGCAGAGCAAACTTCGATAAACATAAATATCGGTGCAGGCGAAAGGGGAAACACAAATGCGTGGATTGTTTCCAATCTTTCACTAGCGCAGGAAATTTGATAACTCATTACGCGTCTAAACATAATCCGAAAGTTTGTTCCGCGTGCAATAAAAAGTTCGTTAGCAAAGTCTGCTTTAAAAACCACAAGGAGTACTGCACCGAATCGAAGGCGATCGGGGCTCAATACATATGTGACTATTGCTCGAAAATTTACAGTTATAAAAACGCGTTGAGGCTTCATATACGTTTCACGCACGTGGTCGGCTGGGAGTACCAGTGTGAGCAATGCGGTAAGAAGTTCTCGAATCCTGCGCATTTGCGTGAACACGGTAACAAACACAACAGGGTGGACGACAGGTATGTCTGCAGCATCTGTGGTGCCAAGTATAGTACGAGGCGAGGCTACGAACGTCATCACAAGCGACATTTCGATGAAAATGGGGAGATCACCAAAGTGATCACACCTTATCGTTCAAAGAAGCGAGTGCTGAAAATCGAGAAATGCGTTTTATGCAGCTACGTCACCAGCAACAGGAAAAGACTGGAAAAACACCTTAATGAACAGCATAATATTGTGGCATTGGAATTACTTCGCCAATAAGCGAGGGTTGTGTAATTGTCTTGTGAGTGCCTTATGGATGCCAAAAAATTTTATGTTAGCAAGAATTCGGACACTGTTAGTTAATGTGTACTTAATGAATATTCAAGCTGGATGAGTGTCATTTGTGCAAAATGAACGGACTGATTGATGACGTGGTTTCAGGTGGAGTTTGATGGGGGCTTGCCACATGGACTGTGCCAATCGTGCTCGGAAAGCGCCATCGCCGCCATAAACTTCAGACAACTCTGCAAGGAATCGGTCAGCCAGTGGACGCACGTGACATCCTTTATGGATGACGTTAAGCCACCGTCGGACGAAGATAAAATATATTACGTATATTACAACACTGAGAACGTAACAAAAGGGGCGATGGTGAAAGTAATAAAGAAGGAGAACGCTTTAGTGCGTTTCGATTTGGAATCCGATCACGAGTCTGACAATCACTTCTCCGACACAGAACGAGAGTTACCATTACCGAGGCCAATAAAGGTGCCTCGATCATCGTTCCCGTGGCAATGTCCCGATTGTGACAAGAAGTTTACCAGTTCTCTTCATTTGAACACCCATTTGAAGAATACTAAAAAAAGAGCGTGTGACATATGTGCACGAATTATACCCAAATCCAAGTTTCCGATGCATTTGTTCAAAACCCACAAGAGGATCCTATACTATTGTGAGAGTTGCTTCCAGATATTTGAGGACCAATGTTCCTTGAGCTTGCACAAGGAAAAATATCACGGAAAGGGTTCACGTCAGTGTAAAGTTTGTGGAAAGGGTTTCGCTAATGAGAGAGCACTCTGCGCGCACATGTACAGCCACTCGTTGTTCTTCTGCGGTGCTTGCGGCCGAAATTTCGAGAACAGAAATTGCTTCATGTACCACCAACGCCAGTGCGAATCCACCGCGCCCAATTCGGTGTCGAACGAATACATATGCGACCACTGCGGCAACTCTTACACAAAAAAACCGTCCCTACGGATTCACATAATACAGAAGCATTTGAATATTCTGCCGTACGTGTGCGAGACTTGCGGCAAACGCACGTCAACGATAGCGCATTTACGATCGCACGAAAAAGTACACACAGTCGAAAGGAAGATATTCCAGTGCCACTGCGGCGCTAAAATGAGGACTGAGTTAGGTTTTCAATTGCACACGCGGATTCATACCGGTGAGAAGCCTTACGAGTGTAGCGAGTGCGGGGACAAATTTCTATCGGCTTCTAGAAGATTGGACCATATCAAACGCAGACACAGGCCCGCTAAAGACATGCCTCACGGCTGCGAGGAGTGTTCAGCTCGATTCGTCAGACCATTCGAGTTGAGAAAGCACTATGTATCTGTCCATATGAGCAAAAAGAACGCGATGCTCGGCAGTTAAAGGTATACATTTCAAGTAGATAGATAGTAGAAGAAAGATAATTATGTTTTTTTTTTAAAATCTATTGAGTTTTGCACACCAAAATGAAAAGAAAAATGAAAATTTTATTTTTGTACCAAAAAAGGGGGTTACAAGGAGTGATTGTCGCTTTCCATTAAGTGCAAATTGTTGGATCTCGTGCAATCAAAAGCCGTTAGTTGAAAATTACCATTCAACATTTTTTATTTGTACACTGGCCTTCGTCAATGAAAGCTATAAATTATGTAAAAAAGTCATCTACCAAGTTAAAAGCTACATATTGTTATTGTCAATTTAGGCGTTGAGCAGACGACGGGGCGGGGCGGGCATTTTGTCCGCGAAGCAATAAAGACCGCGTCTGCCCGTCGATGTCTGCGGCTGCCCGCGCCGCGTACACAAAACACACGACGGGCAGAGGCGGTCATTTCAGGACATTCGTTCTAGTGAATAGTCCATCACTAATAAGCGCGTGGCGCGGACTGAGCTGACCGCCCCGCGCCGCCGTCTGCGTTACTGCATATAAACTGGTTTGTATGATCCACGGCGGGCAGCCGCGGATATGCCGCGCCGCCACTGCCCGCCGGGCACCCAAGGCGCAGTCTTTTTGCCCTCTGTGTGCGTTTGAAGTATAGGATTCACTTTATGCTATTATTCGCGGCGAAATTGACCGGCCCGCCCCGCCCCGCCCCGTCGTCTGCTAAGCGCCTTAAAGTTGTACTCGCAGCTCTTGCAGCCGCCTTTCACAGTCCACCGCCCTCTTGAGAGAAGAAGTCGTATTGACCCTAGGGCAACTCTAATTCTTGGGTAAATACCTATAATTTTTTTTGAGTGTGTATGCTGTTGGTCACAGATGACCTTTACAGCGTCACCGGGCTTGGCGACGGCGAGATCCTAAGGAGACCTAAGCCGAGAATTGGCGAGTGCCTCTAGAGGTATTCCAGGCGGATGACATCTCCCCACGGGGGGAGTCTCACATTGAACAATCGCACATTGATCCACTGAACGAGTCCACAAGCTGCGGTCGAGTATTTTCATACTTTCTGTATAGTATCAGTAGTGTCCGACAGAAAGTTCGGTTTCGGCCAAAAATTAAGTTTCGGCGGCAGTTTCAATTTCGGCCAAAATTGGCCGAAACTTTTGCCGAACCCGAAACTGATTTCGGAAGTTGTCGTGCACGCTCGCCTTACTTCGTTTCTCGCACAGTACTATTCTTCTAAGTACAAATACAAACCAAAGTATTAATTAATAAGATTTAAAAATACCAATGGGTATTTAATAAAACAGTAACAATTTGTGAATTGATTATTAGGGTAAAATGCACCAAATTTCAGTATTTTAAAGAATTTTAATCTTGACCACGTGAGTTTCGGTTTCGGCCGGAAAACCAGTTTCGGTCGGACTATAAGTATCAGCCCAAATTAGCGTTCGGATGGCTTAGTGCCTGCCACTCGAAGAAAAGGTTTTTTCATACATTTTGTTTAGAAACGGCGTAGTCGTCTTAGTTTGTGCGCATACTATACTTAAGCCACTAGCGGCGGTGATCGGTGGCTGCGTCTAGTGGCTTGACTGAGCCACTAGCGGCTCAATGTGCGCTTGCTTCTATTGATTCGACATTTGGCAAAATCAAGTCATTGGTCAAACAAAAGTTATGGCAGATTTACATTGATACAGTAGGTAAAGTACGGCCAACGAGAAGCGATACAAAAGTCCATTCACCTTACACGAGACTAAGGGACTGACAGGCTAATTACTATCTCTTTTGTCTATAATAATGACATTAGGTCTCGTTCTGTCATGTCCCACGCTTCGGAAGGCACGTTAAACCGTTGGTCCCGGCCGCATCTGCAGTCTTTAGCACCCGCTAATCCGCACTGGTCCCGCGTGGTGGGTCATGGCCAAATCTCTCTATTTCATACATATAGAAGGCCTGTGCCCCAGCAGTGGGGACATTAATAGTCTGATGAATAAATGAATGGTGCCATTATACGCACCAACACTACTAGATAGTACATATTTTGTCTATCAGAAAATGAGTAAGGTTGAGCGCAGATTAGAGTCACGACAGTCTCAAGACAGCCTATTGCTTAGAAATAATTATGAAGATGCGCACATTCGAAACGAGACATCTCATAGACAAAAACGTCTTATGTACACAAGAACTGCACAGCGACAAGTCTGACTAACGACTAGTCTGTCTGAGTATAAGTACATTACATACGATAAAATAAGTAATATGTGGATCCATAAATTATGACAAATTATCAAAGGATCTACCTTTCTACATTCATTCGAAATTACTGGTAAAACTTTCTGAGGTGGTGCCTTAATATACTATATAATAAAAATCGGTGAAAATTCTGATACTGATGAAATGGTGTGTATCGCAGCGTAGACAAAACAGTTTCGTCTTGGTGTGCGCCTTCTGGTAGACACAACTGTTTCTTTTTAATTGTAAAGCTGTCTCGTCTATGTAAGATAAGATTGTCTAACAACTGTTGAGACTATAGTCTGCACTCACTCTAAGGCGTCTGGCGGTCCTGGGATCTTACTCTATCACTCGGAAAGGGATCTTCACCGAATCAACTGGAGCCGTTCAGTCTCAGATTATAGCGAACAAAAGGCAGATTTAGCGCACGGAACACGCAATGCGTGGCACTGCAGAACACAGAAAGAGGTTAGAATGGTCTTTTAGGCGGGGCAGGCGCGCCACAGTTATGTGTCAACAAATGCTCATAAATTGACCAATACTGTGATTGCACCGTTGCTCCCGGGTGTGACAACTGATTGGTTCGATTGTTTGATGTCGCGTCGTTCGATTGGCTATTATCTATTAGTGTCACCACACACGGGCCACCGACCACAACCACGAAAGGCCGCCACCGGCATATTTCATGTAGTTTTTATACATTTTATATGGACTCGCCACACAGGTACGCTGGTGGCCGCCACACGCTACACCGGCCACTTAATGGCTGATACAAAACGCCGCCACACGTCACTCGCGCGATTCCCCACCCCTCTCTCCCTTGCCTTAGTCGGCCGCTGTCGCGCGCTTCAGCCACTTGAGTAACCGCTTCTAGCTTCTCGTGGCGGCGTTTGTGGCTGTGGCGTGTGGCCCGTGTGCGGCGACACTTACGGTCACCCTTCTAACCTGTTTCTGTGGTCTGTGCATGGCACCATAGCAAATACGAAGTCAAAAGAGAAAGTCAATTTGAGTCAGTACATCATCATCATCATCAGCCTATTAATGTCCCCACTGCTGGGGCACAGGCCTTCCCTATGGTTGGAATAGGGAGATTGGGCCATGACCCACCACGCGGGCCCAGTGCGGATTGGTGGGTGCTAACGACTACAGTTGCAGCCGGGACCAACGGCTTTACGTGCCTTCCGAAGCACGGAGGAGCTCGAGATAGTAAATTTTTGGTCACCCATCTAATGACCAACCACTGCGAAAGTTGCTTAACTTCAACGATCGCAGCCGAACGCGCTAACCACTTGCGCCATCGAGCTCCTCAGTACACTACAACGCATCATGATCATTTCATCATTTTTGTGAAAACTGTGCCGTCTAGTTCAATATTGTAAAAACTGTTCACAAAAACAAAAAGTTTACTATTGACGTCGTATTTGCTTTGGTGCCACTCATTGCGTATACCGTGCCCCATCTGGCTTTTGTTCTATAATCTGAGCGTTCAGTATTCTCGGTATCGTAACGTAAACGGAAGGCGAGGCGATTACGTTATGATTTCGATTAGTGTGCTTTGCACTAGGCTAGTTCATACAAACTAGTTATACTAGTAATACTAGTTTCATACAAAGAATACTGAAAGGTGACGATTTCGTTCCGAGTTGATATTATGTCTCCTTCGACCTTATCAAAGCAAATTGATACATAGCTCAGTACAACTCTCAAAGTACCTATTCATTAAAAGAAAACAGACTAATTATTTAAATAATGAATATTAACAGCAACCGAGCTATGATTAAGATTTGTTTTCCATTTGAATCTGCAATTAAATCCTTTTTTGTAATTTTATGTTATTATAATAATTTACACTATAAAAAGTTGTAATAGGATATTTGACAAGTTTTAGAAAACGATCTCACGCTATTGACTAATGTTTATGGAGTCCGTAGAAAGTGGATATTCATCATTCTGTTGTGTATTTCAGTAAAAATAACCAAATCAAAAACTCCATTTTCAAGTTGCCGCGCTAACGTTTCTGTGGATAATATGGCGTGTTACTAGTGTGTGACGTCACACGAAACGTCAAACGATATAATGTAATGTCACTAACCGGAAGTTTACTTGCGTGTGACGTCATTTTAGGCTCCGCCAATGCCAAGCGTTTTGGGTCACGTGACAATAGATAAGATAACTATTATCATTTTCGTGGGTTTTTAGAAAAATTATGAATATATTTTTTGTAAAAATAGTAAAAACCCCTGCCAATATTCATTCTAACACCGATGCTAACAATTGGCACTTTATTTTTAACACTGTCAAATACCCTATTATTCATTTCCCTTAAGACGTAACAATGGTATCATTTATTATTTTTTTGAAAACGTACAAATACTGATTATGTAAATAAGAATAATCTTGATTATTCGAAATCTAAACAAAAATATTTCTACAGAGAAATGCGTGTATATGGCGCCACTTAACTAACAGTAACAGTACTTTTGCACACATTTTAAATATGCCAAGTTATGATAGCACAATATTGTCATTTCTATTAAGACATGTCAATTGTAATATTTTGTTATTGTTTCATCTGTTTATATGTTTCAGATTGGCGAAGAGACATTCTGCCCCACAGGCGCGTGCGTGGCTTGCGCGACAGCCGCAATGGCCGCACAAGAGTTCCGTTTCTTTGTGCGCAACTCGCAGCGAATATGGTTGAAGGCGATAACCGTTCTAAACGAAGTGCCAAAAACTAATGGGCCCTTGGTGAAATCCGTTTGCGCGTTCATAAAGCCGGACAACTTGCACATTCACACCGTAAAGGACTACACGGGCGGCGACACCAAAACAATGTTCAGCAGATTGAAGAACCGCTTGACTAGAAAGGCTGAAGTCGAGAAGAAGACGAGAACTCCGCGGGCGGGACCCACGTGCAAATGCCCAGACTGCGGCAAAACCTTTTACAGTCCGTACTTTCTGCGTGTGCACTTGAAGAACAGCGGCTACAAAGAAGCTTGCGCTCAGTGTGGCGCTATCGTGAGACGAGGCGACGAAATGCGCGAGCACCTCACGAAAGTGCACGGCGAAAGTGCGTTACTGTGCAGAAATTGTCCGATGCTATTCCCGGACCAATCCCGTCTGGAGAAACACGAGAAGAACGCGCACAAGTTCGGCTCCTGGACCTGTTGTGACTGTGGTCGTACTTTCTGCGGTAAATCTTCCTTCGAGATGCATTCTCAGATGCACGCTGTCAGGACTTGTAGGTCGTGCGGCACTCAGTTCTCGAATCGCGCGTGTTATAGGATTCACAGGGTTAAATGTGAGCCGGACGCTCGGCCCAATGCGAAGTCTCTACCGCGCAATAAACGCTCCAACATCCGCGACCCCGCCACTTTCACGTGCGACTATTGCGGCAAAAGCTACCATTCCCGCCCTCAGCTCAAGAACCATATAATCTGGATCCACATGGACGTTAGACCGCACCAGTGCCAGTGGTGCGGCAAAAGGTTTTACACACCGTCTCGGTTAGCGGAACATTCTATAGTGCATACGCGGGAACGAAATTTCGAGTGTGACATTTGTGGCGCGAAACTGGTATCCAAGATGGCGGCGATCTATCATAGGCGAAGGCATACGGGTGAAAAGCCTTACGAATGCGAAGATTGTGGTGAGAGATTCATATCGTCGTCGCGTAGGACGGAACACGCGAAACGGAGACACGGAAAAGGGCCTAAAATGCCTTGCGTGTTGTGCTCCGCCAGCTTTGTTAGAAGTCATGAGCTTAGGAAACATATAGAGAGAGTACATAAACCGACCAGCACTTGAAAGGTCTAATACTTCTTATTAATACCATATTTAGAAATAAACAAAGACTGTTGGTTGAATTTTATTCAGCCTTAACCTATTTGAATTTTATTGTAACATTCATCCATACCGTTCTCGTTGTTATAGAGTTCTGGCCTTAAGAGGGGAGGCTGGCAATGTTTTTTCCATACAAACGTTCTCCACTGATATTTCCTTGATTTTCATACATAAAATATGATTTTACTCATTCTGTACTCATATGTCTACCTTTTTTTTCTGTGTTTCAAAAAACTAGAAGCCCTCAAAAATGCCAAAATAAAACAATTTTTTATCACCACTAAAGACGTGTAGTGTGGAGATTTAATAAGCATACAAAAAAGGATAAAATAAGAGGCATAGTCTACTTATTATTTTATGTGTAAAAGGAGATTGCTCAAATTGGCCCAAATGCACAAAAAATATTTACATACGCGGTAATTCTTGGCGTAATTTATAATTTAATTTACAGTCATTAGATTTTAACGGACACCTTTGTATAATATATTTACTTTAAAAAGGACTTATAATTTTACCGGTTTGGAAAACATACGAATCATTTTTAATGGCTATGGGTGTAGTAACATTCAGCCAAAGACTGATCGAAGTTGTTTATATACTTAGCATAAAAACAAATCTATTTCGTAAAGATCGATATTTTTTTTTATTACACTGTGGTATTAATATCCACAACTGTATTATCGTTTTCACTAGATGCAAATGTGCTCAGACAATTATTATAGATGGTAGGCGACATTATAAAGTCTATTCCCATACATTTTTCGCCAAACACCTCCATAAACACATAATCGGTATATATGTTAGACTTTAAGGTATCTATCTATGGGCCAACGTTCCCTGACTATAAATAAATAAAATTATAAGGTGTGATACACTAAAAATCTAAAATATGGTTAGGTATCTTAAAAACAAAAAAAAATATTGAAGCTACTGAATATATGGCTATAGAACCTAAAACTCTTGGCTTTCTTTGGTTAACGAGAGTTAAAAAATTCTCATTAATCTGTGTCTCATTCACAATCATCACACAGTTTCTGTCACAGAGTACCTTATTATAACCGGAAATGACACCTGATTTCAAAAGTTCCTCTTATGCATTAACTTTAAAAACAGACAACTATCTGTTAATCTACATGCTCTATATACCTGAATCTAAATCTAATCCATAATTTCGGTACTTGGCTTGATTTCCCTACTTTACTATATAAATTATTTGTTTTTTATGATTTTAATATGTTCGGTGTATATGGTTTATAGAAGTTCTCAGGGGTGTCCGTCGATAATATTCGTTTCTACAGTAATCTACTATATAAAAATAAGTCGGGTTTTCCTTCCTGACGCTATAACTCCAGAACGCACGAACCGATTTCCACGGTTTTGCATTCGTTGAAAAGGTCTCGGGCTCCGTGAGGTTTATAGCAAAAAAATTCAGGAAAATTTAAAAAAAAAATCGTTTTCTTTTAATCACAAAACGATGTTACATAAAACGAAGCTATCTGGTGGCGAAACGGAGTTCGCTGGGTTTGCTAGTTTATATATAATTTCGAATCTAGGAAACAATTTTTCATGATTATTGGTCTTTAGGCCAAACATGTATGGAAGCTGAGCAATCTCCTTTCTTGTACACATATCTAATTTTCGAGTAGGAAATCATCGAGGGCCAAACCTCGAATTTTGCAATTTTTATACGCAATTATCAGCGTCAAGTACTATCGCACGGTATTTGCTATTTGGTATTTTTTTTATGCGTGTTTACACTAACGTATCGCATCGTATTCGTATACGATCGACACCCCGTTTACATGCTCTCATAATAACAGTACACATGGGTAGAGAAGCGGCTAAGATACTAGAGCCATGGGACCACAGAAAACAGTTAAAAGGGGCTTTTGGGCCGGGCAGGCGTGCCACTGTAATGTGTGAGCAAATGCTCATAACTTAACCAATACCTGGTTTTGATTGCGCCGTTGCTCTAGGATGTGAGCGCTGATTGGTGCGATTGTTTGATGTCGATTTGTTTGATTGGCTATTATCTATTAGGTGGAAGTGTAGTGGGGGCGAGCCGGCGACATCGGTTCCCGTTCCCGTACAAACGGTTATGATCACCCTTCTAACCTCTGTCTGTGTTCTGTGCACGGGACTTTCGACGACTTTCATGGTCTCTTCGCAGCGGTGTGGGCCGCTTGAATAGTGTTATTAATGTGTGCCCCTAAATGTTTAAACTTATGCTTAAGTAACTAGCAAACCAGTGAACCAAATGTTCACCAAAACCTGATTTCTCTAAAACCGGAAGTGCTACGTTACTCAAATCCGGTTTGTAGTCTTATCAGACTATTCTTAACTTATAACTTAAATATTCTCTTTATCTATCTCTTACGGTTTGGCCGCTGAAACAGCACCACAGACAGACGGACTTGTCTAATAGATAAGAGATTATGGTTCAACTAAAATTGTCAACTTCTCAGTATCTTCGCCGCGCCTCTCCCATTGTGTGCTGTGCCTCAAACATTGTTTAAGCCATATCGTGAATGGTTTGAATGTAAACGGGGTATTAGGTTTATTGAAATAGTCAATGAAATGGGGTCTCTCTTCTATTCCTGGGTGTAATTAGTTTACACTTGATTTTAATAGTTTGTTGCTAATTACTGTTGCATTGCAACTAGGTTGCCTCGCCAGTTTCTAAATCTAGTGGAAAAGGAAAACCTCATGTGACAGAAAAGAGACAGCACTATTACTGAGATGAGAATAATTTTATCTTATGCGCCGTAAGTGTAAGCGAGATAGCAAACTGCTAACACCACACACCCACTGTCATTTTTTTTATTTGATGTTACTGTTCATTTCACCATCGATTTTAATACTTCTATAGTTAATTATAATTGGTAATGCTTGCTAAGTCGTTCCTTTTTAGTATAATTTTGTGACCACTGCCTGTAAATTTTTTTCGTTTGTCAAAATAGCTGCATCATTGTGACTAGTTTGTCGCAACAGTGTGACGACTTAGTCACATCACAACAACGTAACTGGTTAGCCACGCAGTAGTCATTTATACTAATATGAAAAGAGATACCAATGGTGCCAATCTACGATATTAAATACCCTAGATACACCACAGGCGTTCAAAATGTGTCCCAATCAAGAGGTGCTTGAACGCCACTCGAGCACTTCTTGGTTCACAGTCACGCGTGCAACGTTGAAAAGTCAAGTTGCCGCGGAGCTCCGTAAAAAATGCGAAAATAATATTTATAGTATGTGAAGTGTCGTTTTTTCGACAGGTTTCTAATCAATGTTAGTTAATTTAACGCATTTGAAGCAAATTTTGTTCTAATACTTACTTTAAACTGATTTAATAGAAATATTTGTGTTATTCAAATGCATGGTCGGTTATACAGCCATCTCTTTTCCTCGCGGTCCGTACCTGCTGTATTGCTAACAGCGCATTCAAAATTGCGCGTAGAGCCAAAGGAATAAGGTCTATATTGCTCCGCATTGTTTTTGACAACGCGATCATCTTACGGAGCTCCATGGATCGTCCAATGTACCCTTTGGACAGGTTTCGGGCACGATTTTGTTCGTGTTGGTGTATCTAGAATATTTAATATCGTTGGTGCCAATGCTGACATGACAAGTAAATTTTATTGTGAATGAGGCTGTATGAGAAATACCTTTATTTAAATTGGATGCGTTACACCAAACAAGTCTGCAAAATTCACTGGGCTGAGGCAATTATCTATAAATAAGGTGGGCTTGAGCATAAACCATTGACTACGAAGCCTGCGCAGTGTCAATTTCACATAAAAAAGTGTCAACGGCGCTTTTTCTATGGTTTTAATTAAGATGTTTATAAAAACCTATACCAATGTATACTAGAGGTATTTCTTTTTAAAGTATTTTCTAACTATTTGATAGTTTTAAACACAAACAGATTGTTATATGATAAAATGTGATAAAATAAATTAAGTATGACAATTTAAAAGGTTTTCTTTATTTGCTTATTTTATTACCATGCTGGACTGGGGGTGAGAAAAAGATAAATAAATATTACCAACACACACACCAATTAGCCTAGCCCCAAAGTAAGCACTATTAGGCTTGTGTTATGGGATACTAGGGTAACGGATAAATACATATATAAGTATATTTATATAGAAATACATATTAAACATCCATGACTGGAGTACAAATGCTCGTATTCATCACACAAACATCTGCCCCCACCGGGATTCGAACCCGGAACCTCTCGAGTCGGCGACACCATGAAACCCGGCGTACAAACCACTCGACCACGGAGGTCGTCACACCATGAAACCCGGCGTACAAAGATGGAATTTATCAACGTCAACATCGTGAAAGTCTTTGACCTATTGGAGGCCCTGGGCATATTAGGATAATGGGGCCCCTATGACCCCCGTTTGGTGATCTGACAGCAACTAGGGACTTCGTATTTGATCTGAGGTGGGCGTAGGCCTCTATCGATCGCGGGGCCCTGGGCACTTGCCCAAAGTGCCCACTGGGAAAGAGGGGTCTGTCAACTGGTAAGTTATCAGTGCAGATTTTAGTGACCTGCTATCAACTAAAAGAGGTCCAAGCAAAAACTTTGACAGCTCTATAATCGTGTTGCATCGTCCAAGTTTCTATGCAAGTTATGCAGCGTCTATCGGACGTAAGAACAAACCGTCTTTTAACATACATTGACGAAGACGAAACGATTACGGATCTGTCCAAGTAGGTACGTGCTACAGTACCCCTTGCACGAACCAGGGCCGGTTTTAGTACATACTACCAGCGCCCTGGGCGAGATTTCTGCGGAGCTCCCTAACTGTAATTCAAACCCATACGAAAAAAGGCAAAGGATATAATTAAAATACCTACTAATTAAATTTTACTTTTCTAGGCTTTCTATAGGCGAAATCCTTTTATAAAGTTATCAAAGTCGTTGTTTTCTGAAATTTATTTTTATTGAC